GGACCGGGAGATGGTCCTCTGGTTTTCATTTTATCATTAACTGTCTCCTCTCTCTATTCTAAGAGTCTATTATGGCACCATCTTAGACGACTTGACTTTCCAGTTTCCCATTAAAATATAATAATAATAATAAGTAGACCTAATCCACAAGCAAATCATCAAACATTTTTTACACACTTCCTTCTCAGTTCTTTAGGGAAGAAAAAAAAATGAGACGGTTTTTGTAAACAGATATTAATCATTTTCCCCAAATACTCTGTAGTTAGCCTGGAATGAATGTAGCAAAACATAAGGTGTCATGAAGATTATAAATGTATTTGTTAAAATTATTTTTATGAGGTTTTGTTTAATCTTTATTTTTTCCTCACTGGAAAAACTCAGCATACACAATATATAATCAGAAAGTAACATATGTTATCTCATCCCCGAGACATAAAGTGTTCATAATTAGGCTTCTGGCAGAATTTTCTGGTTTTGGAATTTAATTAATATAACCTCACCATTCATTTTAAGTTAGGCTTTTCACCTTGGAAATATTTAGTTCAAATATTGAAACAACGGTTTCCTCTTTTTGTCAGAAGCATCGAGTGAGTCAGTTTTTCCCCAGTGCTGAGATGAGTTTTCTCAAGTTTGTGGTTTTTGGATGGCCTCGCTATCCATTAAAAATATTTCTTCATGTTCTATGTTAATTTTAAGGCTTGACCTGTTCCCACTAGTCTTCACCACCTCCAACAGCTGAAACATGTATTTATTTATTTTTATTTTTTTATTCTGATCTACCCAGTAGCAGATGGATAACTTTTCTATTACACATAATATTGGGATTACTTTTGACATAATTATGAAAGCATGGGAAATAATTTGCTCCAATTCAGTCCCCAGTACTTCCTCTTTCTCTCCCTTTCTCCTTCAAGCTCCTTCTCTTTCCCCTCCCCTGTTGATCTTATTTCTATTTATATAATTTCACCAGTTCATAGATCTACAAAATGGTGAAATTCACTATAGTATATTCATATATATACACTGGAAAATTTCGTTAATTTTATTCCACTGTTCTTCACTTTACCCATCTGTCTTCCCTTCTCCCATCTGTCTTCCCTTCCCCCAAATCCCTTCTTTCCAATCCCTTCCTCTACTCCACTGACCTCTCTTCTGTTTTCATGGGCTCTTGCCCACCCCTTCCCTCTTATTTTGCTTTAGCTTCCACATATAAGAGAAAACAGCAGAGCCTTGACTTTCTGGGTTTGGCTTATTTCTCTTAATATGATTCTTTCCAGTTCTAAGGGATTGTTATTAACTTCACTAAAATTAAGAAAACTAATACACAGAGTTAAATGAGATCGCAAGGCTGTAAGAACCATTATTGTCCCATATTAAACCAAAGGTCCTTTGAAATTTTACCCTGAGAGCTCATGCTTGATGTTCAGGCACAGGCAGAAAGAGAGCCCAACCTACTTCCTAAAGAACCAGAGGGAAGGACTTTCACCAACCTCTCATTGAAGCTTTCTACTCACACCTTGCTTTCAAATATATCTCCTATTATGATCACTTGGAAGTATTCCTTGCCTCATTGACACATGAACTTTCTTCAGTACTTCCTCCAGATCTGAGAAGCCCTCTTTCTTCTTCAATGAATGCATAAATAAAGTCTTTCTGAAGTTGTAAATGGAAAAAAAAATTGCTTTCTTCTGTATGGTTCTTTTGTCATGCATAAACTAACCCCATCTCCTGCAAAATACCACAGAATAACAAGTTCTGGAGGGTTTGTTGTGTCCTGAAATCCCTCTGAAGTGTATTGATTGCAATTTGTCCTTTATTTCTTAAGAAAACCATATAAGAGAGGTCATGATTTGGCTTTCATCCTAAAGATGAATAAATTTGGGATAGAATTGAAGGATGCTACTGAAGACTGCATGCCTAATAAGTCGCACAGACTGCACATGGGCCCCAAATCACCTTTGTTATTGTCACTTTTTCTTATCATCTCCACTTAAAGTCTTTTCCAAAGAGAGAGAAGTTCTTGAGGCCAACAACATTGCCTGAGCATTTCATATTGGTCACAATCCTTAATAGAACAATGGCACTCGGTAGGAGCTTATCAAAATTTCAAAGGAAACAATGAGTAAATTTTCCATGTGTAGAACTTGTTTATTAAAGATTAAATAAGGTTTGTTGAAGAATTAGAAATTAAAATGCCATTACAGAGTGATGCGAAACATTTGATTTAATTTAATTATGATCTTAATATGAAGTAAAAATACACGTGACAGCTGTAGTATCCAAAAACCTTTGTTTAAAAACCTCATTTTTGTCTCTATTTACTCTGAATATTTTTGTTTGTTTTCGTGATTTTCTTAAATTTCCAAAAAACTATTTTCATTGATATGGTTTTAGTAGCTCCTATCTGAAATTATCATCAGAGAACACTTTTTTTTTTCTTTCTGGCTATTTCAAAAAAGAAAAATACTTAACATCAGTGTGAATAACACATGTGCTCATTGCAGCATAATGTTGGTGCAATCTGTGCTTGATACAGTTATAAATAAGTCTTTGAAAGCATTTTTCTGTATTTTAAATAAAGGCTATAGAAAGCCACAAGAAGGATCTAGTCTTGTTAATATCACAAGCTGTTTCCCCACCTGCACTCAGAGCAGCTTTAGTACAGCAGCTGTCTGGGTTCGTGTTGGCACATCACCGTCTGCACAGGAACCCCATGGTTTACACAGAAAATGAATAGGCCACAGTTCCAATGGGGGTCTTTAATAATCCTTCCTCTAATGCTACCGTGTGTGAGCATCAGGCTTTGAAGGGGTGTGAGGTGTGAAGTTTCAGGAGGATTATTTAAAGCCACTCCATTTTGAAAGGTAGAAAAGAGCATTGCAAAAACCAGAGTGTGCCTTTGCATTTCTCCTGTGTGTCGATCAAATGGAGTTTATATTGATATTTGAGCTTCCTTCCAGCATGTGACAGCAAGTGAAGGGAGGGCCATAATTACATGAGTTGCTCCCTTTGCCCTGCTTTAGCATGGACAAACAAAACTTTGCATCAATGTTTCATTGATTTCATTTACCAAATATTAGCTATGAAAATATCACCCTAATGGGAATAAATATCTATCCTATTGTACGATGAGAGATTAAATACAGCAAGTAAGAGAATTTTGAAATGTACCTACTGTCATACATTCTCTGTGTATGATTGGGTAATTGTTGGACATTCTGGAATAAAGGGGATTTATTTTCATACATGAACTATTCAAAGCATCCTCCATTGCTGCCAATCAGTCATGGCCACTTAGCCACCTGAGTATTCCTCAAATAAGTTCCTTGTTAAAACAAACAAACAAAAACTATAATAGTTCTCATTTCTCATAAGGTAATTTAAGGAACCTAAAACTCCATTTTTCTGACTATTATGAACATTTTAGCAGGGGGGCCATAATATGGTGGAAGTAACACAATCAAACTGTTCTCTTGGAAATCTGCTATGTGCAATTGCAGAGTGAAAATACTAAGGTCTCATCACCCATCTGCTGCCCTGCATGTGGATTTAAATTCAAAGGAAATGTAAACATTGGGGGGTGCCCAACATTGATTTTAGAAATACTTTTCTCCAGTAGTATGTACAGAAGAGTGGAAACTCAGTCAATGTGCATTCTCTATAGATCAGGTGCTATGTGAGGTACTTCTGAACTGAAAATAACCAATATGGGATTTATACCAAAAGATTCATTCAAGAGAGATGTCTAGGACAGATAAGTGCATCAACAGATCTATAGAGGCATCTTACAGGAGAAGAGGATAACCTCTTTGGGAAGTAAAACGGGAAAGCCTTCTGAGAAGGTAACATCTCAGAGCAAGGCTCAGAAGATCAACTGGAACTTTTCCAGGTGAATTGAAAGGAGTTACTGCAAGATACATTGAGGGGTACATGGAACTGGGTTTTGCTGGAGTTCAAAATAGAGAAAGCAGAAAGCACTCTGAAGATGAGCTCCAAAATAGTCGAAAAGCAGATCATAAAAGCTATCCTAAGGTTCTCAGAAGGAATAACTTTTGAAATGAAATAAGCAAAAAGATTGGCCTGCTTATGTTTGTTTTTTTACAAGGTGCTTCTGAAACACAATATAGTATGGATGGAGAAAGACCTGAAGAAGGGCAACTGTTGGGAAGATTTTTCTAGTGTAAACCCAGATAGTGAAGGAAATGTGTAATGGGAGAGGCTATCAATAAGACTTTTGGAGGCAAATTTATCAGGGCTTATTAGAGTGATGGAGTGATGGAAAGTAAGTAAGCTATAGATTTCTGATGGTAAATCTAGAGCGTGCACAGAACATCCTTCTTTTACATTGTGACAGATAATGGTGACTCTTCTGTCCACTGTTGTGAATATTTTTAATGCCCAAAGAGCCTCCTAATTTTCTGCATTAACCTATGTGCCACCTACAGCCTTGCAGGAAACAGCCACCAATGCTGGTTCCAGCCGAGCTTGACAGGTTTTCTTGTGCCCGTCATGGCTTTATGACACAGTCTTAAGCCACAGACTAAAGATGATTGTAGCCACCACTGCTTTCCTTAAACTTACAACAGCTTCCACAATATTTTGCCCTCATATTGTCAAGAAGCACAATTTCTTTCCCAGAAAACTGCTCTAATTGGATTCGGTGGACCTTGACTGGCTTGTCACAGATACGTTCAGGGCGAAGGTGAAAAACATGGAGGAGTTTGTTCCTGAAACTAAGGTCTGAGAAATCTCTGATGAAGGCATTTCACATAAGAATATATATTATTAGGAAGTTATTTTCTTATTACTTTTCCATGATATGTGTATTATTACATGTGACAAAAAAAGGTAGAAAAGGTAAAAAGCTGTAGAAAATATTGTAAACCCAAATCGTGTGTATGCATTTACATTTCTAAAAGATTATTGATGTTTAAGTTCAAATTGAACATTCACATGAGTTTTATTCTGCATTTTAAAAAAAAATTAAAATTTTGTCATAGGTGGGAAGTTGCTGTGGAGCTCATGCTGTTTGGTAACTCAGGCTGTCCTCAGTAATCTGATGGGAGAAGAATCTCAGGTGTCCCAAGGTAAGTACTTTCCTGTGTCTTACTTGACCACCTTGCTGGTGGTCACCAATGTTGAAATAAGTGATGGAATATCATTGATAATCTCGTTCTAAAATTTGGACATTATGCAGAGGCATCATTTAAAATAATAATTACTGGGTATTTCTCAAAATGCAAGAATAAAGTTAAATCAAATAAATTTCTCAGCCACATTTTCCTAATTCATATCCAGTAGTAGGTCTATTCCCACTTTTAAAAATTTGGAATAACTCATGTGCCCACAAATGTGTATGTGTGTACATGAATGCATTGATGTTTATTACTAGCTATTTCATAGGTTCGTCTACGGGCTTTATGTGCCTGCCTTACCAAGTAGAATGGGTCACTCCTTTGGCAAAAATATGAATATGTTAAATCCTGTAAATATATCTTGATGGCCAAGATGATACAAATCAGGATGTTCCAAAGTGTGCAAACTCTGTGTGGCATATTTTGGTTTTAAATTTGAGTTTGGGAAGAGGATGCTTCAGAGTAGGTCTCCTTTCTTGGAACTATAATGATGTTTTAATAAGTAATATATTTCCTCACTCATTTACCTGAGAGAAGAAAAGTGGCAAGGAGAAACTTGGAAATAAGACTTTAAGAGTGACAGGTACTGGGTGAGAAATGCAGCTCCTTTAAGAGACAGCTACCCTTCCTGGAGGGACCCTGGCAGAAGGTGAGCCAATCAGAGCTTCTGCTAAATGAAGAGGCTAAAAGTGTAGGCGCCTCTGACTCCTCAGCTTCATATTAAAAAATTCTGCTCTTCACCTTTCTTGAACCCCATTCCCTAACAAGCAAGTTGACATTAATTCCTCATTCTTTAGAAATTTTAATATTGAAAAAGTGTATGAAGTGTGTCGCCTGGAAATCTTAAGAAGTGAGTCTCAGCACATGTCGCTCTGTTCTGATTTGGTCGGGATATAGTTCCATTCTTTTTAATGAGTTGCTTGATTATTGCTCTGGAAGGAGGGTAGCTGAATTTGGAGGTACTACATGGGAAAACCATGTGATGACCTTGAAGTAAATAGACTTTGGAAAGTGTGTCCCTCACTGAGGTTAAATTGTTCCTCATTTGAGGGAGGAGGAGAAAGACAAAAATCTGGGTTTTTTTTTTTTTGGTTTGTTTGTTTTTGTTTTTGTTTATATTTGAGACTCATGAGATGTACACACCTGAAAGTAAAGGCATATTTAGGACATTTGACTGTGTGTTGTCTCCTGTCTGAAGAGCTCTGATTAGGGAATCAATTACGATGATCAAGCTCTAAGTGGTCTCAGTGTGCAGATTGACTAAGTGCTGCTCCTTGGAAAGAGACTAGACTTCTTTGAAAAAGTATTAAAATTCTGCATTGATATGAGAACTTTTGACTTTCTAAATTGAACTTCTTAAGGAATCTCTTGACTGATCTTCATTCCAGTTCCATAATGGGTGGGTGATGGTAAAGGGGGGGGGGAGTTGGCTCATATTTCGTTCAAACCCTAAAATTTTTCAAAAATTTTCCTGTAATTTCTGATTAATGGTGCCCTTGATTTTGATTTATATGATCCTATTATTCATTATAAGGGAAAAAAAGAAGTCACTTTTTTTTCAATTTAATTTTAAAAATTAGGGCTAGCAGTGATGGAATTTAAAATCAAATTATCCTGTCAGAGTGACAGATAAATCTCAAGAGTTTCTAATGAGATTTTCCACTGTCAGGATGCTGAATTTCTCCCTTTTCCAGACTCCTTCATTCCAGGTTTTGACAGTGACTGACAATGAACATCTGCGTTTTGAAATATGGTGCTATTTGAGGAGTTTGGGTTCTTATTTAGACATTTTGGGGTGGCTTCCTTCCCTGTTTGTTCTAGGTTAAAGGGGGAGACATATATACAGACATCATGGGGAAAGTGTCTACTATGGAAAGCTGTAGGTCATTACCATACACCTGTATTTGGTTACGTATAGTAGATTTGCCAGTTTTACACTCTTCTTAATACATGTTTCTATTCTTAAAGGATTTTTACTGTAGAGCTAGTGTAAATATGACATGGTAGTTCTACTATGCTGCTTTTTCATTTCGTTTTCTGTTTTCTCATTATCCTAAATAGAATTTGAAATTGTAAGTGCTTTCACAGTATTGGATAGACGCATATCGCTCCATATTGAGATAACAATTTTGTTTTCTGTAATCAGGGACTTTGCAATTCTCTCTTTCTCGTAGCTAAGGAGAAATGAGTCTTTGCTGGTCTCTAAAAACGTGTAACCAGTAACAATTTTTAAATGAAATAATAGTTGTGCACTCTATTCCTCTGCAAAAGAACACATCCGAGATGAGCAGTCTTTTGGGTGACACCAGCTAAGTAGCCGGATTGCCTATTAGTTTAAAATGTCTTGCAAAACAAAAGGAATACAGAAAGAATTGTTGACCTATGACTGGAAATTGTCTTAGACTCTAAAACATTGCAATACCAGGTTGATTGTAAACTGCGCCTGCACCCCACCCCACCCCCCGCCACCACATCTGAACCAGAGCTCACAAAATATCTTGACGCTTCTGTCATCTTGCATGTATGAGAACATTTTTTTTTCTCTTGTCTCCACCTTTTTTTTTAGCCCGAAGCTAATCAAAAGCTACAGCTGTTTTGTGAGACTTGCCTTCTTCATTACAGTTCTGTTTTTGCATGTTGCTGCAATCCCTAGAACAGAGGGTATTAACCAAGAAGTGCCCCTTGAGAACCCTACTTTGGTTCCTCAATTATTACTCCAAAATGAGAAATGGTGAGGATATTAGGTAATCATTCAAAGAGCAGATGACACTCAAAAGAAAATGTGGCAAGGCACCTATGTGTGAGCCCTGAAGAGCTACACATACTGTACATTAGTTAAGAGTCTTAATAAAAGAACAGAAGGAAGGGAAAATAACACAAAATGAAGAATGAATTACTTAAGATTAAATAGTTTCTATTACAGAAATAGGCTACATGTAGAGCTAATGGCAGGCATTTTCTACAGACAGATGGAATGTTCTCCTCTCCTGATAGTATTGATATGAAGTCTCTGTTAAGACTCATTTTTCCTGAAACATTTGCATATAAATATAAACATCATTACTAGAGGCTAATTGCCCTGTAGGAACTAAAATGTGGGAATTAGCATCTTTAGTCGTTTTTATTATTATTTTTTAAAGTATCTCTAACACGCGTCATATTTGGTACTGCATGGCTGCAGCAGATAATTACCACCATTAAGAATCTCAAACGCAAAATCAAAACCATTTGGAATGGCTTCCAGGGCAACCCAGCACAGTGAGTAGCCACCAAAATGAGGATAGGAGGTTTATGCTCATGCATATTCATAAGGGTACTTAATTCGACATTCATCGTAGGGGGCTTTTGAAAGCTTGTCAAAAGAGCAGCCCCCAAACAAGACCAAACATCAAAGGTAAGATGATGCTGCTCATCTTGCTCCCACACACAAACACCGCTTGCAGGAGGCAATGGATAACACCAAAGGAATTATTTATTTTAACTACTCAGAAGAGGGGGATTTCTATGAAGATGTAAACCAAAAGCCTTTGCCTTTCTGGTTCATCTTATTGATCAGAAAGGTCAGGAATATAAGTTATTCAAGGAGTGCATCGGAGGCACCCATTCTGGAGAAATGGGCATGCATATTGGTATGATTAATGTCCCTTGCTTGTGCAGAATATTAGGAAGAGTTTGAGGACCAGTTTGGAGCCCCCCAAAATATGAAAGGGTGTGGGAAAAATTCAACTGTGGCTAAGAGGCTGGCTATCTGCAACACCACCCATTGTGTGGGTGGGTCTGTGCATGCAGCATACAGGTGCTGTCTGGTTCCAGGGCTGTGTTCCAAAGTGATCTCACTGACACCTGTACTTTTCAAAAACGTTTCTGTGACATTCGACAAATGTTTTTTCTGGTGGAACAAATCTATTCAATTATAGATTAGAAACAATACAAAAACACCTTTACAAATGTTTCAGTCTCGGTTTTGCACAAAGCAACAGAATTATGCTTATATGCAGTGTTCCTTGTTGGAACAAAACAACTATGTAACAGGTAGTAGGCTCCTTTCTCTAAAATCTTTTCCCTTTCCTTTCTTTGAATCATGCCTGTAGTTCTGAAGGACAAGGAATGGTCTGAATGTGAAAAGGCTGCTCTTCTTCTGTTCTGGTGTTCTCACGTTGTTTAATTCTCTGCATTCTCCCCTTAGTAACTTCAGATAATCATCATCTTGGGCAAATAATGGAGTGTGACTGATTTGTAATATAAAAGCATCCTGGGGAAGAATGCCTCAACACTACTGGACTTATCAGAGCTTCAAGTGACCTGCTTTTGGACATACTTAACAAGCAAAAGTCAAACAATTTAAATGAAAAGACTAGTAAACTTTAATGTAGTGATACCTTCACTTTCAAAGAAAGGTTTATTTTTAGGGAAACATATAATTTTATAATGACAATAATCTTTTATAAGACTGTCAAAAGTAATTATTTTTCATATGTTTATAGTTAGTGATGACAAATAGATGATGCATTTGAGAAGACTACTAAAACCACCAAATTATCTTATCTTCCATCATTCTTCAAACCATCCTTCAAAACATACCAGTATGGCATAAAAGAGAAATATTATTTAGTTGGCTCAAGTATTCTAAAATATATATTTTGATACATATATTAAATATATTGAAATACACTATGAATACTGAAATATAAATATGTAATATATTAGATAACTTATACAAGAATAACTAAACGAATAGAATAAATAGAAAAACACAAGTACAGGGCTAGGGTTGTGGCTCAGTGGTAGAGTGCTCGCCTCGCGCATATGAGTCCCTGGGGTTTGACCCTCAGCACCACATAAATATAAATAAAATAAAGATATTGTGTTCAAATACAACTAAAAAATATTAAAAAAATAAGTGCACACTTGTGCATACCTATGAATTTAATATTTGTAAAATTGAGAAAATA